TTCATCCTCCCACCTACCAGCTCCGGCCAGTAAGGCTCCCCCAGTTCCTTCCTCTCTATTGCTGGCTACCAGAAGTTGTCCAGGCTAGTGAAGCCTTTCCTTCTTAGAAGTTTCTGACCTTGAGTTCATCCTGAGACAAAGAGAACACCAGCTTCCTCTTTTCCCATCCCACCATCTGTCAAAGCCTTATGGGTTCTGTAACTTGGGCACAGATACAAATCCTCTGAGTAGCCTGCGTTTTGCGCTCCTTCTGACCTGAAACCCTTGAAATGCTAACCAAGAAACCCTCGTGGACACATTCCTCAGGCAGAGTATGGGACCGTGAGGGCGAATGGGCAGAATCTGTGTCTGCTCCCGGGGAACCAGGGAGATGTGGTCAGCATGGCACCTGCTACTCTGCAGGTGGCCATTTTGTTTTCATAGGCAAACTCAGGCACCAGGAAGATGTGGCTGGCTGTGTGAAGATTGTGTCTCAGCCAGAGGTCACCTGCTACCTCAGTGACAGCAGTTGGACTCCTTCCTAAGGCTGGTGGAGGACGGCAGAGGGCAGACGTTTGCTGCTGTCTTTTCTTTTAGAAAAAAACCCCTCCCTTTCTGTGCATATGCCATGGGGTCATATATTTTTATTATTCATTTTATTGGTATATTTTAGATGTACATAATGATAACATTCATCATAGGGAATTTGTACCTCTACATGAAATATCTTGCTTCTTTTCTTTCCCATTCCTTTCTTCTCCCTCTTCCCTTCCTTATTTACAAAAGCTTTGAATCCATTTTTTCCTTCTACTCTTTTTTCCTTGTTCCATCGCTTCCTTTCTCCCTCTCCCCTCCCTTGTTGCCTTTCTTACTTGAACATTTTCTTTTTGCATAAAACATTTGTGAATTGATCCATATGAAGAATTTTTTCACAGGTTGAGTGAGTTATCTGTATCCATGAGTTTCTCACCCATGGGACTAACAGTAAATTAAAAATATTTGGAAAAAAATTGAATCTGTGTTAAATCAATAGACTCCCCCTTATTATTCTCTAACCAACACAGTATAACAACAGTTGGCATGGCATGTTGTGTTAGGGATTAGGAATTTAGACCTGACTGCAGTATATGAGAAAATGGAGATCTGACCCATGCAGAGCTGTCCGATGGTATCCGCGGGAATCGGTTCCAGGGTCCCCAAGGATGGCAAAATCTACAGAAGCTCAAGTCTTTTACACACAGCGGAGCAGACACCGTGCATAGTAAATACCCTGGGTTTCTGCAGAAGAGCACGATGCAGGCACACTGTCCTGGCAATGGTTCTAACAGGGGTGATTTTGGTCCCCAAAGACACGTGGCAGGGTTCCAAGACACTTCTGGTCTTCACAAGTTGGGATGGGGTTGTTTGTGGCATCTAGTGGGGGTAGAGGGCCAGGGATACTCTGAACATCCCACAAGGCACAGGATGGCCCTGACAGCACAGAATCTGCGCCCCAAAGTGCCCGGAAGGCATCAAGCTTGAGAAGCCCACCGTTTCACTCTCACGGGCTGTCACTGTGGGCCCCAAGTATCAGTCACTGATTTTTCTCCCTACCTGCTCTGCTCCTGGCCTTGATGTTGCTGTCAGAGGGGAGAAGCTTGGGTCCTCTCAGTTCTCTCGTGCTTCCTTCTTTGTTGGCAGAGCCAAGCAGTGCTCCACATACACACTGAGCCTGGAGAGACTGGTGAGGTCTCAAGTGAGTGACTCCATGGAGGAGGGCAGAGCAGGGACCAGAAGCAGCCAGTGTGTAGGAAGAAGTGCTGGGTTTAGAGGGAGAAGCTAACTCTGCTTCTAAGTTGCTCACTTAGCCTCTGTGCCTCAGTTTTCCTCCCTGTGCATTGGGCACAGGTTCCTTGATTCCTTCACAGGTAATTGTAGGCGTCTGAGGAGATGGAGGTTGGGATAAGGGACAGAAGCTATGAAGGTCAGGCAGCACCCACCATTGCAGTGTCATGTGTGTGTGGACACAGGAGTCCCCTGGGGCAGGCTGGGAGTGGGAGAAAAGGGACTCTGAACTGTGAGAACAGAGTATGTCACACGTGGAGCTCAGGCTGTAGCTCCAGGGAGCTGCGCACAGCAGGGAGACTAGCAGAGTGTTGCACGGAGCCTAGAGGGGATGCTGCTTTGTTTTGTGGCTCCCAGGTGGCAGGGGTAGGAGGGGGTCACCGAGCAGGGAGAGGGGCTGCAGCTTGGCGCCTACACCTGGCCACCAGCAGTCCGGTTCCAGCATGGACTGTGCAGTGATGAAGATTAGTATTTGCAGCTGCTGTTTTGAAAGTGTTCGTATTTGTAGCTCCCTGTAAAGCGATTTTGGGTGTCCTTAAGCATGTCTGCCCCTCTGTTTGAAATACAATTATTTTCTAATTTTTTGGTAGCTAATTATTCTTCTCTGTATTATACAAACTAACAAAAATTTGGAATCATCAAAGTGTTCAACGATGAGGGATTTATTGGAACACAGGAAATCTCTGTGCGACAAATCAGATGCTCATACTTTTTCAGGATCTTAGGAGTTTAGAATCTGTCTAATTTATTTTAATCTATGATCTTTGGCCATAATAGCACGTGTGTGTATGTGTGTGTGTGTGTGTGTGTGTACTTTTAAAAGAGGAGGTAGTAGAGTACAGTGGTCACATTTGCTGCCCAGGAGTTAAAGAGAGACTCCATTTGCTAGCAGTGGTTAACCTTTGGGTTGTCATTTGACTTATCTCCCTTCAGTGTTGCCTGTTTCTGTAGCCAGTGGGTGATAATATTACATCAGAGTGACAGGAGCCGGTGAAAGAGCTCTTAAAACCCAAAGTTGGAACCATTTGAATAACAAAATAAATAATATAATATTGGCTTTAACTCAAAATATAAAATAAACATGCATGAGGTTATACTGATATAAATGACAAAACACATACACTAATTAATGGGGGAGACGAGACAAATCTGTGAGAAAGAATTTCAAACATTTATGCAGACACCGTGCTCAGGAGGAGGAAAACAACTCCCTTTCCTACGTGAGCTGTGTAGAGTGATTTCCTTCCAACTCCTACCGAAGAATCAAAAGGAGCAGGAGGATGACTTTGTGGTGGAAACCTGGCAAGCTCGACCTCAGTCAGGTGATGAAGGTTAACCTCAGACCTTTGATGCCACGTGGCGAGGAGGATGCTTCACTTCTGTGGCTTTGTTCCCCTAAACCCAAATCCCCAGTTTAGTCACCAGGAAAGCATCAGGCCAACCCAGCTGGCAGACATTCTACAAAATATCTAGCCAGCTCTGCTTAACGCTGTCAGGATCGTCAAACCCAAGAGTCCAAGAAACTGTCACAGGCAGAGAAACTCAGGAGACATGAGGACTTAATACGGTGTGGTAACCGGATGGGATCCTGGAGCAAAAAAGGAGCAAAAAATGCAGGAAGTTTGAAAAAAATATGGACCTGAGTCATAATGATATATGTTAATATAAGATGTTAAGAGAAGGAGAAATGGGGTGTCAGTATATGGATCTATGTGCTATCTTTGCATATTTCCTATACATTTATTCTAAAATTACAAGTTTGTTTTACTATTTTTCCAGCATCCAAAATCTTTTAATACCAGGGTCAAATCCAGGGTTAATTTTTATAGCTGCTCCTGGTTGGTGTCCTCTGGTATACTCCAACTGCCGACTGGTGGACGCATTGGGGTTGATGTGTGCTCTGGGGTTCAGACTTTGCTAAAGTGCCAGTCACCTCTCAGCCTTGTGAGACCAGAGAGCAGGACAAAGGACGCGGGACACATAACACACTTCTCTGGCTGGCACTACCTGAGCCATCTGGTCCCCAGGACCTTGCTGGCAAGGAAGCCCATCTTCTGGACCATCAGAAGGGAAGAGAGGCCGCCAGTTTGCATAGCTCATAAGCAACCTCCTGCATAAGCTGGTTGAAGGTAGAGTCGGTTTGCTGGCCAGAAACCTGTACAGCTTGATCAGCAACTTTAGAGCGATGAGCTGGCTCTTGCCTGCTTGTCCTAACCTTTTGGTCCCTGTAGATGTTGTCGACTTCAGTGATAGCACATTGTGCTCAGTTGGGTCCAGAAGGAGTAAAAGTTCACGTATGTACGTATATATGTGTATATTTCACTGGGTACTGGAGATGGAACCTAGGAAATGCAGAGCTACATCTCTGGTCTTATTTTGAGACAGAGTCTTGCTATGTTGCCGAGGCTGGCCTGGAACTTGGAATCCTCCTGCCTCAGTCTCTTGAATAGCTGGATTACAAGTGTACACCACCATGCCTGGCCTATTTTCTCTTTATGTTTTCCTATTCTTTTTAAATTGAATATATTAAAGGTACATGACTTGATGATTTTATATATATTGTTGTGAAATATCACATAGTAAAGCTAATTAGCATTATCACTTTACACAGTTACTTTGTGTGCATGTGACAGATACTTGGAATCTACTTTCTTAGCAGAGTCCCAGTGCAGACAGAGTACTGTTCCTACTTTGTAAAAATGTAAAAATCCTATTTTACACTTGATTTCTAGGACTTACTCGTTTTTGCATAACTGAGCCTTTCTAACCCCTCAAGCTGCATCTCCCTACTTTCTGTCTCCTCCAGCTCCTGGTAACCGCTATTCCCCCCTCTGTTTCTTTTTTTTGGTACCGGGGATTGAACTCACGATCACACGCTTGCAAGACAGGCGTTTATGCCGCTGAGCTAAATCCCCAGTCCCTCTCCCCTCTGTTTCTATGCATGCGAGCAGTTTAGATTTTACAAGTAAATGAGATCATAGAGAATCTTTCTGTGCCTGGCTTATTGCACGTACATTATGTCCTCTAGGACTAACATGTGATTCCCCTGCATCAGCCTCCCAAGCAGCTGGGGTTACAGGTGTGCACCTTCACGTGTGGCCCAAGGCCATTCTTTTTTCTAGATATCCAGTCTTTCCAGCAGCACTACCACCCAAGTAGTGTTTGTTACCTAAGCTGTTTGCACAGGTAAGCAAGCTGAGAGACTTGACTTTTTCATTTTTCTTGTCATTGTCTTGCGCAGGGGCCATGCTAATCTTCTCTGTATCGTTCCAATTTTTAGTATATGTGCTGCCGAAGCGAGCACTCTTGTCATTGTCTTCAAGATTAGAATTCTAGGAAGAGAACATCTGAATAGACTAACTAGTCACACAGCCGTGACTGGGGTGGAAGAATTCCTTCACTGATGGCCTGTTAGGCAGCTGTTTGTTGCTGTGGCATAATAATTTAAAGGGGGAACTTTTTATATTGGCTCATGGTTTCAGAGGTTTCAATCCGTGGCCAGCAGGCTCCAATGCAGAGGGCATGGCAGGACAAGGTTGGTGCAGGGCCGCAGAAGCAGAGTGACTGCCTGTGCCTGCTGGCTTCCTCCTTCTATTTTGGTCCCATTTGGGGGCCCCACTGTGTGCGAGGGTGCCACCCACAGTTAAGGCAGGTTTCTCCATCAATTTGCTGTCATACATGCCAATCATCTCTGGAAACACAGACACTCCCAGAAGAGTTCTTTATTAATTTGCTAGGTTTTTTTCAAACTAATCAAGTTGACACTCAAAGTTAACTATCATACGGTCCCACCAAACTGTATCCATTGGGAATGATCCTTTCCCCTAAAACTAAACTGGGGTTCTGAACCTGAAAAAGGGAAATGGACTCTGGCTGTGCGAAAAGTTACAAATATCCAGCACACTCCCATCCAAAAACATCATTAACTGCTGCCTTGTTCTAAATATCTATATTTTCCACATTTTAACTATTCTAAATGTCTATATTTTCCACATGTTCTAAATATCTATATTTTCCACATTTTAACTATCTTTCTGATAATTTCCCTGCCCTCATAATTCCTCCTTGATAGTCACCATCCAGAAATATACCCACTGTGCCACGTTATCTTTTAAAATATGGATATGTTCAGTCCCAACCTCTTCTCCCTGGCTAAAAACCTCTGATGGCTCCCGGTTCCCTTAAAATTCTTAGCACTGTTTACAAGGCCCCTCCCAAACCTTCTCTCTCCATGGGCTTCATTTTCTACCACTCCAGTGCCCTGCTCCTCAATATGTCTCTCTATTCATGCTTTCTTTTCCCTAGGAAGCTGTCTTAATCTCTTTTCTCATGGCTGAGATGTACTACTGGAAACCACGACTTAAAGGAGGAAAGGTTTATTTCAGCTCATTTTCATTCCATAGTCAGCTGTTTCCACCACAGGACAGAGGCTCAAGTCAGAGGAGGGCTGCTCAGGGCATGGCGAACGGGACGCACCGAGAGGAAGGAGCTGGGAAGGGAGAGAAATCCTTCCAGGTCACACCCTGAGGTACTGTCCTCTGCTACCAGACCCCACCTCCTAACAGCATGTCAGCTATGGGCTCCCCCAAACCCTGCACATGAGTCATGAGGCTCTTGGAGGCCTTCTACGTGTAAACCATAACAGAGGCGTTTCCCACAGTTTCTGCATATTAATCTCTGAAAGACAGACTCAGACATCGCTCGTGGAACCTTCCTCAACAAGCCAGAATAAGTTGGTGAAACCCTGTTTTATACTCTCATCACACTCAGTATGGGCCTACATTGTAGCCTGGAGCATGTTTTATTACTGCACTTGTTTACAAGTCTGCCTCCTATACTAGTCTGAGAACTCCCCTAAAGTGGGACCTGATTTCTCCTAGTGCTTAGCACCGGTACCTAGCAGTACTGTTTGGCTAAATGAATCATACAGATAAGGAAACTGAAACCATAAAAAGGTCAAATCATGTGCTTAAAAATGAGAGTACCTTTCTGAAAGGAAATGGGTTTAGAGAAAGAGCTGTGATAAACCAGACTGTGCTTTAATAGTCTAGGCAATTGCTAATGCCTGTTTTGAGGGCACATGGTGGAAACCAGTTATCTTCCTCTGCTCTTTGGGAAAACAGGGATCAAACAGCTCAAACCTGAATGGTCAGGAGGGATTTAACTTAAGTAACAGGAAGATCATCTTGCTCCTGTGTCTGAGAGACAAAAAAGGTGGGCTGACTTAGAATGCTACTGGACTTGGCCTTCAGAGGCTTTAAAAACAAGATAAACTTTATCAGGATTGGATTAGAGGTGGGCAAACGGCTGAGTTGCCTTCTGAAAAGGCTGCCTCTTGAAGCCCACAAAGAGAAGAGGAACCAGCCAGGAGCCTCCAGTCATGTTCCCTGGAGCTCAAGGACGCTTGGGGGAGGGGGAGTCCTTGCTAATTAAGCCTCTACCCATGAGTGAACGTGAGGCTAATAAGGCGGCCCCATTCCAGGGCACCTCCACACCAAGCCAGCCGGTCTGCCTGTTTATTGCCCGTATGGAGATCATTAATGCCTCCTGACACTGGGGTCACTCCTGGGGTCAATCCTAGAGCCCGTTCTGCAAAACAAGGGGAAATGAACTTCCCAGCACATGTGGCTCAGGCTTGGCAGGGAGGGGGATTCTGGTCACCCCACACCTCAGCTCTGGGAGAGATCAGCACCCCAGGCAGTCAGATCCCCCAAAACAATCCCCCTGCCCATGCTGGTCTCTAAGGGAGGGAGTCCTGGGGACAGATGAAGTGGAAGCCCTTGTCTGGGTCGGACAACCCCCACAGAGGCTGCCCCAACCGACAGACGGACACTAATCCCCTGGCGACGGGCAGGGGTGGTGTCTGGAAGCTGCAGCTGCAGCTCGACAGGGGCCAGGCTACCAGGCGCAGGTGGCGGGAAGGCGCTGGCCTGGTGGCCACGTGGTTTCGGCCGAGCCTAGCCCTTTCCCCATCAGTGATTTGGGGTCTTGCCCCCTCCAAATGGAAGATGGCGGGGAGGGGGCGGAGTTCCAGGTAGATCGGAGCTATGATTGGTGGAGGGTAGCTCCTTTGAACTGAAAGACAGCACCAGTAGCCACTCAGGGCGCACCTGGTTGTATGGCGGGTGCTCAGCCATTTTACCTCTCGTTTAACCATCAAAAGCAGGGTTACAAATCCATCTTTGGCTGACAGGGTGGGAAGAAGGAATCCTTAGAACAAAATTGAAAATCAGCCTTCACTAGCCCGGGAGAAAAGACAGGAAAACCACCAATTAGCTTGAAGGAAATCAGTAGGGTTGTGAGGTTAATGCCAGAGCAGTATGACTAACAGTTACCAAATAAATGGGTCCACGACATGGCGGAGTTTAAATGGGGCCTAGTAAATATAGGAATGTGTTCAAAATACAAACTGCAGAAAATGCAAGGAGATGGAGTTTGACCAGGGACTTCTTCCTGCTTGCTCTTACTAGGACTGTTGACTCTTCTGGAGAAGCCACAGCCCTGGGCCTGCCTCCCAAGAATGCACAGACTTGGGTCTGGCACCCCTCACCGTGCCAGAGTTGGCCTAGCTCCAGGGCACAGCAACCCTTGGACAACTTTATCTACCCAATGTGGGGGACTGAATCAGGGGATGGAAGATCTTACTGTGGAGGTCTGTGAAGTTAAGAGACCCTTAGCAAGCTCTGATCCTTAGAGAGAGGACCAAATGCAGCAAGCAGGTTTGAAGCTGGATGTTAGGAGGCACTTTCCAAACATTACCAGATGGTGAATGTTTATGGATCTTGGAGGCAAGGACAGTTTGCCTCAGGCTGCCAGTTCAGCATCTTTCCATAATGAAATCTGCTACAGAAAGCTTTTGGGCACTGAGCACTGAGCAAGACCCTTTCTCCAATTTCTTCCCAATCTTCCCACTGATTCCACGTAAAACCTCTTTCTCTTTTCCACTCTACTTGCCTCTTAGAGTCAGGGGTTGCAACGAGCTCAAATGAGGCAAAGAAACCTGCTCTAGGTGAGTGGAACCTTGCCCAAGGGTATGGGCTATGCAGCAAAAGTAAGTGGTGGATTGTTTGCTGGTGGCCTGTTACAGAAGATCTTATTCCAGATGAAAGCTTATTTTGCTTCATCTTCATTTGTATTTGGTACAGTCGAGAATTTGTAGTTTTTGGCCCAGGTTGTGTTCCCAGCTAGAACAGGCCATCAGTCCCATCACTACACATGAAACGCTTGCAGCAATGGAGTGCGTGTGCAGTGCTGCCCTCCTGTCTGCAGCCCGTGGGACGCGGGTAACGAGTGGGGCTGGGCCCAGGCAGCAGGAGACGATGAAGGATGCTAGAGGTGACTGTCTTTTGGGAATCTGAAGACAGAGATCATTAAATCTTTGGTCTCTGTGTAGATATTTTGTATTTGTCTCTTAAAAAAAATTTAGCATGTTTTGTGCCTTGAGTTCGATCCATAGCACTTTAAAAATGTAGCCAGTAGATTAAAAATCTGGGGCTCTAGAGTCCTATGGGTTTAATGACCTCTTTTCTTACTGTGAGACCATGAGCAAGTCCTATTTGTAATAATGATACTAGTCTTGCAGCATCACCATGTGTCAGGTACTGTGTTACGTCTCTCTTTCAAGATATGGTCTCAGTATGCTGTTCAGGCTGGGCCCAGAACATAGGCTCAAGTGATCTTCCTGCCTCAGCTTCCTGAGTAGCAGGGACTACAGGCATGTATCACTGTGACTGGCTAGGCACTCTATTACTCTTAAAACGAGGCTGTGAAGGAGGTACTGTTATTTACTTATCTATTGATCTTTCTTGGTTTTCTGTGGTTCTGGGAATTGAACCCAGGGCTTTCACACTGAGTTACATTTCCATTCCTTTTTAATTTTGAGACAGGATCTTGCTAGGTTGCTAAATTGTCGAGACTGGGCCTAAATTTGTGATCCTCAGCCTCCCCAAATGCTGGGATTACAGGTGTGCACCACCACACCAAGCATTGTTTATTTATTTAGACAGAGTCTTGGCGTGTTGCTCAGACTGGTTTTGAGCTAGCAATCCTTGCTTATACTCTTGAGTGGGCTTTAATAAAATCCATGTAAGTCATCTGAACACCAGGCAGTAGATTTAAAAGTATGGATGCTGAAGATCCAGACAAATTGGGCTCAAACCCTGACACATTTCCTGGTTGTGTGACCTTTGAAAAATTATCTGACCTCAGTTTCTTTATCTGTAAATTGGGTGTATGGTAGTACCCACTTGACAGGGTGATGAAGTTGAAATGGGATAAAGCAGTAAGGTTCTTACAGAGTCCTCC